TCATTTAGTCTCCAATATTTCATACCATTTTATTAGGACAATCTGGCATCTAATATAGAACCCTAAAAAGCTTAAGAAGATATAACACTTAAAAATGCTAGCAGTGTCTATAACGAGAGAGAGAGAGAGAGAGAGAGAGAGAGAGAGAGAGAAGATAGAACATATAGCTAGAAATAATTTTCTAGGTTGGACTGAAAATAACTTTTGTTTTGCTTTCATTTTGGCTCATTTGGGAAGTTAATGAATGGAAAGAAAAAAACTGGCTTTAACCAAACAATTCTAAAGAATTTCAGAACATCAAAACTTAAAGTTTATGAATAGATTTGACTCATTTAGCACCACAAGTTATCAAAATATTAATAGTCAATTTTCCACCTAAACTGTTGAGCTGTTCAGAATTCTTCACATCAAAACTCAAAAAAAAATGCTCTGCCACAAAAGCAAATCATTTAATATGTTAAAATTAAATCAATTTTCACTAATGAATATTACCATTAGGACAGATATTAAATAGAAATGCTCTTATGGAAGGGCTTCCATTTCTCAACCAGAATAATACTAATGATAATAATAAGGAGTCCTTCCTCTGTGTGACTTTTGCACTTTTGTAAAATTCTACCTTCATATCCTGCACCATCACATTGTACTGCCATTTTTTGCTTACAGATCTCCTTTTCTAGGTGTTCCCTGAGTAAAGGTACTAGAAGAGTATGGACACTGGGGGCTCACAGAACCAGGTTCTATTCCAAGTTCAACTCCTGACTGAGTTTGCAAGGGCAAGGTATCTATATTCTCTATAGGTCGAGTGTCTCATCTAGAGATCATAATAAATACTTGTCTCATCGGGCTGTTGGAGATTAAATGCGATAATATGTGTAAAATTATGTGCCCCGAATAGAGCAAGATTGATGGTGAAGATGAAGCCTTTATATCCCCCTCCCCAATGCCTAGCCCAATTCAACACATGTTTTTTTTTAATTGACTTGAACTTCCCCACACTGTCTGCCTTATGAAGACTTACATTTCTTAGAGGAGATGATATTTGAGCAAAATCTACTATGATGCCTTTACCTGATCACTGCTTGGAGACCCCATAGTGCTTTGTGCATGCCTCTATTTGCTCCTGTCCCACCAGCCTATCATATTTGTTCATGCTGCCTCTGAAGCTTGCAGCTTGCTACATGAGGGAGAATAAAATCAGCCTTTCAGAAAACAGTGAGCTACTTTTTAATTTGCATTTCTAGAATCAGGCACAAGGTAAGACATTAACTGTTTCTCCCTGGGCCAAGCTGAAGGCACCCGTGATCACTAAGCATGTGCATTCCAAAGGAAGGAGACCAGGGTTCAGACCAGATCCTCTCTTTTCTTTTTTTTTAAATATGTTTCAGAGAAAGGAAGGGAGAGGGAAAGAGAGAAATATCAACGATGAGAGAGAATCATCAATAGGCTGCCTCCGTACACTCCCTATTGGGGATTGAGCCCACAACCCGGGCATGTGCCCTGACCAGGAATTGAACCGTGACCTCCAGGTTCATGAGTCAATGCTCAAACACTGAGCCACCCTGGCCTGGCCATACCCAGATCCTTTCCTAACCTTCAAGGTTCCACTCAAATCCCACCCCAGCACGAAGGACTTATCCTAAGGATACTGTAAATTAAACATAGACATTCTTGGTTGAGGGGTGTAGTACTGTCTCCTCAGACACCCTGTGAGCTCTGTGAAGAAGGGATTAACTAATTATAAATTATTTTACACAGAACAAGGATATATAATAGACAGGAAACAAATATTTGATTGCTTAATCTAGTTCTGCTTTCCAATGTGCTCAAAGTACTGCTGCAGAATTATCTAATTAATCCTAACCTGCTGAGAAGAAAGGCATACTGGATCTGCAAAGACTGAAGCCAAGTTCCGGCACCCTCCACGCACGGTGTGAATGAGCAAAGGGTGTTCCTGCCCACCCTCAACGGTGCCTCTCTTTGGCCAGCTCTCAATTTTTTGAACTAATGGCTTAGCACACAAAACTTAGCATTCTACACAAACCAAAAACGAATGGCCAACCAAGTCTTCGTGGCATTGTTAACCAACAGTAAACTCTATTTGGAGTTACAGTTCCTCTAATTAAATGGACTGTGAAGTGGCCCCAAGTCTCCCGGAAAGAGGATGATGGGATCTACTATCTCCCCCGTGATAAACCTGCACGGAAATAATTAGATCCTGTGCAACTGAGAGCTAACTATTCTCATTAAGAATAGCTACAGCCTGACGTTTTCAAAGAGTACTAGCTAGACACCTCTTTCCTTCACACATTCTTCTCTTCTCCCTTTTTCATAGCAAGGATTTTCAAGGATAATAATAATAATAATAATAAGCCTCCACACATATATTTTTTTAACTCTTCAAAATGCTTTCATACCTATTTGATACTTGCAGTCACCCTCAAGGCAGTTAGAGAAGATAAGATAGACCATCTCACTTTACATTAGCACAAAGGATCAGAGTGGCTGGTCCAAGGTCCCCACCAATGAACAGCAGCAGGGGGATCACATCCCAACCCTTCCTCCCCATCCTCGGTGTCATTTCACCACAGGCATACTCCGACACACTCCAGACCACAGCATTAAAGCAAAGGTAGCAATAAAGCAAGTCAGGTTAAATTTTTGGTTTCCCGGTGCATATAAAAATTCTTCATTCTCTACTGTAGTCTATTAAGTGTGCAATAATATTATGCCTAAAAAAACAATGTACATGACTGAATTAAAAATATTTATTGCTAAAAAGTGCTTACCATCATCTGAGCCTTTGATGAGTCATATTCCTTTTGCTGGTAGAGGATTTTACATTTAATTTATTTTTAAAAAACAACAACAATGCAACATCTGCAAAGCGCAATAACAAAGTGCAATAAAATGAAGTGTGCCTGTACACTGCTGACCAATGGGCTTCAGTGTTGTTCCTCAGAACCTTCCTACACCCTGGCCGGCAAGACCTGCGGCAAGAAACTACTCCTAAGGAGAGCGCGCTGGGTTTCTTCAGAAAAGACGAGGTGTCCCTGCAAAAAAGCACTGCCGTTCAAATCCCTGGTCTTAACCAATGTGTTTCGCCATATTGAAGGCAGGTTTCCAACCAAAATGGTTGACTGGGAGCCAAATGTGGTGTTCTAAACTTTGTTCATGCTGTCAGTGTGACATATGAAAGAAATATGAATAAAGTGACAAGATGCAAACAAAGCTAGTGACTGGTGTGAGCTACACAGACAGGGTGTTAGCCCCACATGCACTGCAACTGGGTCAAGTTAACACCTCTTCTCCCCCTGCATATGTGGTGTGGGAAAGCTATTCATAAGATGTTTTTAAATATTTAGGACCAAATAAATCAATATTGTTGGGAAACACGAACTCTGACCAGAACTCGTTTACTCGCCCTAGTCCCATGTGAATAACACAACCAAGAATATCAGGATGATCCAAGACCAGGATGCCACAGATGTTCAGCAGTCCCGCCCAGAATGCCCACCCAGGCCTGCTTTCAGCTCCACACTGGCCAGAGACCCGGCGGGGACAGTAGATGGCAGGAGCTCCAAGAGTGACTTTGTGGATAGTACTTAGTACCAATGTAACAGAAAGGGGCCTTCCAGACATTACCTGACTCTGCAGTTCACTTTGCTGCTTCAGGCGGAGATTTTCAGGTGTATCTGCCACAGTAGTGAAGGACTGCTTCGGGTAGTGTCTGTGGAGACATTTTTTTAAAGAACATAATTAAAATACTATGACACCAAACAATGCTTTCACACCCAATGTTTCATGCTTCCCTCTGTCCCAATGGGAAGAGGTGCCGCTCCTCTTAGCTAAGGTCATCTCTGTACAATCATTAGGATCCCACCCCCTCCTCCATTCTCAGGACCCTCTATCACCCATTTATTCCTATTATCTCCCCAAATTTCAGCCTCGGCTTCTCTATGCTCTTAACTACTTGCCATCAGCAACAAGTATGCTCAAGACTCTCCTACCTTTTACTGTCCCTCCATCCACCCCCACATACCATTCTAGCATGTGATGGCTAGAATCTATTCTCGCCTTCAACCAAACTTCCTTAAAAATAAGCTTCAACTCACCGTCCCTGCTCATCTCCTCTCCATCTCTCTCCCCATCTCTATGCATTCTGGCTTCTAGCTTCTGTTTCCAGAAGTTTCTCTGGTCACAATTATAATGACATCCTGTGGACACACCCAACAGACATCTTTTGGTCTTCCTCTTGTGTGGCTTTCCCTCCATCTGAAATGTCCTTTCTTGATTTTTATGTTACCACACACTCCTGACCTGGCTTCTCCCCATCTAGCTGTTCCTTCTCTGTCTCCTGTGGGCTTCTTTTTGTTGATCTCATTCGTTCCCACAGTTTTGGGCACCCCCTCTATAAGTGCTAATTACTCCATTCAGATCCAATGGCATTTCCACTCGTGTATATCCCATGCCCACCACAAAACCAACCAGTCTGAAACTCAACTGTCCATCTTCCCACCCCACCCCAAGTCTTACCCTGTACTCTCTCTTTCATTTATTAGTGCCCAACCACCCAAGCCAGAAACCTGAAGTAATCTTGACTCCTCACACATCCTATCAGTCAGTCACCAAGTCTATGGCTTCTATCTCCGAAATTTGGCTCAATTACATTAACCTTTCTCCACCTCCACTGCATTTTTTTTTCATTATGGGCCACATTTACCTTCAGATAACTACAACACTTGCCAATCTTGCCCTTCCAATCTGAACTGCCAGAACAAATGTTCTAAAATGTCTATCTGATTACATTTTCCCTCTGGGTAAAGCCTTTCACTGGCTCCCCATTGATCTGAGAATAAAGCCCAGCATCCTATCTTCCCCCATGATCAGGCCTCTGCAGACTTCAGACCCACCGTGCTCTGGCCATGGAGTTCACCCTTCTCTTTCCCACCTCCTTCCCCATATGCTGTTCCCCTGCCCTGAAACACTTATTCTTCTCCCACCGCCTACCTGGCACACTCCTCCTTATCACGTAGGTCTCGCCTTAGATCAGCGGTTCTCAACCTGTGGGTCGCGACCCCTTTGGGGGTCGAACGACCCTTTCACAAGGGTCGCCTAAGACCATCGGAAAACACATATATAATTACATATTGTTTTGTGATTAATCACTATGCTTTAATTATGTTCAATTTGTAACAATGAAATTGGGGGTCACCACAACATGAGGAACTGTGTTAAAGGGTCGCGGCATTAGGAAGGTTGAGAATCACTGCCTTAGATGCACTTGCTTCAGGAAGCCTTCCTGGTCCCTCCAACGTGCCTGGAATGTGCTTTCTTTCCCATTATACTCCTTAGCATATCCATCTGTACATTCCTGCTGACATGGCTCTGTCTCACAACACAAGGAGAGTTCTGCGGCAGCAGGAACAGGCTGCCCTGCCCTTTGTCAGAACACACTCAGCACCTACCAAGTGTCTGGGCTCATAGTATGACTTCAATAAATATTTATGAAAAGAAGAAAAGAGAGAGGGAGGGAGGAAGAGTAGGGGGGAGATGGGGAGATAACCATCAGATAACCTGAGAGCACAGGTCAGGCTACAGCAAAGCTTCACCAGGTTCTATCATATATGTAACACACATGGGCACACACGCAAACACACAGGCCCTCCTGCTGGTGAAGTGAGGGCACTAACTGCCCGGTGCGGGTAAGGACACGACACTGATTCATGGCTGCCTCCCCCCCACGCCCAGCTGGTACTCAGGGTCCCTCAGCTGCTGCGGCTCCATCACCACAAAAACTGTGGAACTCAAGGCTGTTCTTCAAGGAGCCCCCTCCCTGGCCCCTCTCCTTGGTGATGTCCACCCTGTGGTCTCTCAAAAGTCCACTCTATGCCTCACTGTTTCAAACTCTGCTCTCCCAGTAGAAGGTTCTTTTCAGCATCCCTGATCCTGGCTTCCTATGAGAAGGTTCATGGAGTAACCATTTGTCAATGCAAATAAACTCTGAACAACCTACCGAAAGTACACTAGCACTTCTGAAATAAGCATTACACATATTTTGCAGCCCTGTGGAGTCAGATGTGTGGTAGGAAAACGTACATGAATGCCTCATTTTGCCAGTGTTCTTCAGTAATGAAATGTCCTGCAAAAGTATACTTTCCAGATAACTGAAGTTAAAACCCCATAACTTACTGGAAGCACTTTAACTATTTTAATTAACATCCTTCAAAAAGCTTTACATAATTTTTCTGCCTTCTCAGAGCATAAACCAACCCAATTTGAATTTTATGACTCATCGGGGTCATCTTAATAGATACGATCAGATGGTGATAGAAAGCAGCAGGGCTTTCAGAGTTCACAGGGCGGGGGCGGCCTGAAGCGTACGTGATCACTGCGCTTCTCTAACTGTGCGACTGTCAAGAGATCATTTCTCACACACAGCCCTCTGCCGTTCACATCTTCTTTTCTTTTGCTTTCTTTCTTCTAACCCAGACACTACTAGATAGTCAAGTTTGTTTCAAATGTTGGTAAAAACCAGAGCAGGTCTTTCCCTGAAGTCATAGACTTTGTGTCAGCCACACCCTGGGTGCTACTTCTGAGCTGTGCTGCACGCATGAAGCTGGACAGACAATGTCGGTATGTTCTGTAACATTTGCAAGTCAATCTCAGAAAGCTGAGTGTTACCGGACTTTCAAGTGTAGCAACTGTATATGGCTCTACTTTAAAGCTAAAATAATGGAAGCACTTTAAAAAAATACATTCTGTAAAATAAAGTTTCACAGAGATTTTCAAGGGTCCACGACTGTTTCAATTTAAGAATTTACATATGTCTTTTAACTACTTTAAAGATTGTAATTAAAATCTACTCTCAAATTTGTTACAGAAAGTTTAGCCCATTGAAACCATGCTGTACTGACTTGCAAGTTAGTCTGGAGGCAGACTTTGGAGGGACAACCTACTCCTGCCATTTATGTTTAATTAAAAAGTCTGTTTAAATTTTAAACAGAGATGGAAAAGTGAATGGGGAGGTGGAGGGGCTATAATTTGCAACTGCTTTCCTGTGAGTACATGAATTTCCTTCACACCAGGAAAAAATCATTCTATGTTGATGCTAGGGAAACCTCACTTACCACCCCTCCCTCTCATTTGGAAGTATCATTCCCATGAAAATAATCTAATTATTCTCAACGTTTGACATTACAATGAGAAAACCAATCGATCTGAACTTACAAAGTACATGCAAATAAATAAAACACCACTTTTATATGCTACATATTGGCATTTAATACTAAGCTCTATTGGGAACGAGGTTTGCACTAAAAAAGAAAAATTTGAAAGCTCCTGCTGCCTTTTAGAAGACACTCTGCTGTCCTGGTGGCCAAAGCAGCAAACTTACTGACCTGCTGAGCAATTCTACTGAGAACGATAAACAGACAGCAACGCTTTGCACTTCTTTCCAATATGCTTTTCAATTCTAAAATTCAATGATTTTGTAATAGTGGGTTCACCCACATATAACATAACTTCTCCAAAGAGGCAAAACAGAAAGAAATTATTGAAATTTTTATCTGGGAGAAAGCGTTCAGTTTAGTATCAATAACCAAAATAATAAATGCTGAGGGAAAGAAGGAATTCATATTGGAAACGACTAGGAGTCATAAGCACTATTAAAACCTGAGGCTTTGGAGATCTAAGTTATCCAGAGCCAGCGAAATTCAGGAGAATAAGGTGTTGAAAAAAATGCCTACCAGTCAAGGGAGAGTGGAATGGTCCCATGAATCAGAAACATAAAACTCAGAAGTAAGTGTGATTATAGAAATGGCAGCACACACTGCATTAGCTTAAATAACTATAATATCTGGAGAAACCTAATTAATTTTGCCAAACTGGACATAACTGAAAATCCTGGGTTTCTTACCATTATGCCCACGTAGTAATCTCTGTCTAGTTCAACAATATTCCGCTCTAAAGTCATAGTCCCAACCCCCTCTCACCCACTACCTCACCTGCAAAAGAAACCCAGACACAGAAACTGAGGCGCCAGTGGTCCCTCGTGGGATTGATACCTGGTTATTATTCAACAGAAAAAGAGTAAAAGGGGGACCAAAACATACAGCATGCCATTTACACAGCTTTGCCAAAAAACTGCATTTAACATTCTCCAAGTCTATTCCCAGCTGACTGATGGGGGAAGGGACTGGACAAAGGCAGAGTAGATGCATGCCCAGTAGAGGTCTGAGTGACATGGGAATGTAAGTGCCCATCAATCACACCTGGAAACAGGTAATTGGCAGGGATGGGTATGGCCACTGCACGTGCATGAAACCTGAATATGTTAACTTCCAACCCAGGGGTGGGGAATCTTTTTCTGCCAAGGGCCATTTGTATATTTACTAGTATAACATCATTCGCGGGCCATACAAAATTATCAACTTAAAAATTAGCCTGCTATTATTTGGTTAAACATTTAATTAACTCACCCCTAATGCCTTGGCAGGGCCAGACCAAATGATTTCCTGGGCTTTATACTGTCGGATGTCCCCCATCCCTGTCTAAACAAAGAAGTGAGCTCTCTCTCATCCGCCAGCCCTCCTGGGACTCCTGCTGCAGGGGCTGCGCTCCCTCGCGCCCGCATGGCGCAGGGCCATGTTGGGTTCCACACAGGGACTGATGACTGTAGTCTGGCCTGAAGGCTGAGCCACACCCACTGCAACATGGAACAGAGGCTCT